ATTCTGGGATTTTTTTTTTTTTTTTGTGTGTTCATGGGTTTCATAAGTTGTCTCTTAAATAGGGGGCTTTGTGCTCTTGTTTAATGTAGTCTTTTAGTTTGTAGTTCTGTTTAGCTCCCGTTTCCTGTTTTCCCCCTCGTTAGTCGTATTGTCTTCAGCCGTATCTAGTTAGCCTTGTTACCCTTGTGTATGTATAGCCCTTTGTGCTTCCTAAGTTCCTTGTAAAGGTTTTCATTCTTTATTACTAAATTAGGACATTACACCTACAGTTGGTGCTTTATCATGTATTTTTATGGTTTTAATGGGTCAAATGCACATGCATACTTGGCCTTCACATCACTTCACAAAATGGCTTGGCCACTAGTGTCCACTTCTGGGTTGTGCGGTGTTTCTCTAGGGGGTGGCATATACGGGGTCACATAATCAGTAGGGCTGGGACAATAAATCGATGCATCGCAATTTGTGGATTGATTCTGAGATTATTGGAATGCATCGTGATTCTCTTGAATCAAGTCTGAGCTTAGTTTTTAACAGCAGATGGCGCTCTAGGCTAGTTTTTAACCGCACACTCAATGCTCATGAAGAAGAGCCCTTGTGCGTTTGACTGAGTCGTGTAAGTGGTTAAATGTACTTAAACCTCGGCTTTTATGACATGAGATTAATGTAAACACAGCCCACTATGAACACCCTTGTAATTCGCTTCAACCTTTTCAAACTGTATGAATGATTATTTTATGTTCAAGCATGTGTAAGGAACTGGAAGCAAGCAGAGTGCGGCTGTTTCTAAAGCATGCAGTGCCATCTGCTGTCCAAAACTAAGCTCAGTTATTAATTCAAGAGAGAATTGTGATGCATTCCGATAATCTCAGATTCGTTGCAGAATAATTACTCGATTTGCGATGCATCGATTTATTGTCCCAGCCCTAATAATCAGGGATCCAGAAATAACTTTTTTTCCAACTGGGTTATTATACTTTTACAAACTTATGTATGAACACAGTTTCATGGGTTTTGTAAACCCCTACCCTTGTATTTCTGAGCAATAAAAACACTTATTAAAGGATTATTCTTATCTACGCCTATATATATATTATCTCCCTTGGCCCCTAACGGGTTACTCTAGTCAAGGTAAGTTATTTAGTGCAATGCTGCGCAGTTGCTATAGTGTTCTAGATAAAATAAGGAAGACATACAAAACTGTGCAGAGGACAGGAGTTAAGAAATACTGTATTTGGTGGCTGCCAGAGCATTGCTTCAGTGTTTTGAGAGGTTTTTAGTCCATTGTTGTGTGGTTGCTTTCTGTCCACCCCCAGGCATCTATGATATCTCTTCTGGTCTCTAGACAAGGTAAATCTATGAGATTGTTTTCCATCTGTGTTATCAGCCAGGTGACGATCATGAGTCCGAACAACATTCACATACCTCTCGTAAACAAGCCACATGATTTGAGATATCATTCATGACAAATGCAATAATTAGTGTTAAGGGTTTGGTCATTATTCTAGTGATCATAAAATTCAAGTTCTCATCACAAATTGCTAATAAAGTAAATGCACTGACCATGTAAGTCTGTTTACAAGGGTGAGCTTAAACACATTTTAATAGTATCAAAAGTCACAGTATTTGTAACTTTTCACTAAGGTAATACAAAACATTTTCTTAACCACTTTTACATGCAGGTCTCCCAAGCTCACGACAATAAAGCATTAGAATAGATATTCTCTCATTAACACAATCGCACACCTCCCACTGTACTTGCCTGACTCAGAAATAAATTGACACACACTGTGCTGCCGTCCCTCTGTAGAGCCACCACAATCCTGAGCATCAACACAGGCATCCAGAGCCGCAGAGCGATCTTTATCCTCTGCCGTGGGATTCTCATGAGCACCGCCACAGAGAGCGTGTGTTTCCAAGAGGGAGAGGCAGATTTACACGAGCGCAGAAACACTTTACTAATGACTGTGTGCAAGTGAAGACAACAACGAGACCGAACGAATGAACGAGAGAATGGATGAGAAAATGTTGGTATGGAAAACTACACGATCTAGTGCCACTCAGCCTCCAGTTCTGTTTCACACCGCTAGTTCACTCTAAATTTATCTACTGCCTGGTATTAGAAAAAAACTCTCAAATAACAGGTCATTTCAATGGGCTTATGCTCTGGGAACGTGGCGAAGGCTGCAGTTATTTTGGACGCGAGATCAGTTCGGAGAAACTAGCACACACACAGATTGTGAGGGTGAACTAGTCCGTGAGTATGTGGGTGAACACCACACTCATCGCTCTTCCTCTCTGTGAGGGATCGCTGTGTGGGTGTGTGGGGACGTCAGCAGCTCTATATCATCACAACATTATGTTCTGCATGCTGTGCATATTTACACAAGCTCTGAATTGTAGTGTTTGGCAGAAAAGAAACGAGTGCAGTTTTTTTCAGATGCCTGCTTTTGTTTAACCCCACAATCAGAATTGATTCCTTGTGAGAAAAGGGAAGGTGTGAAATATCTACATGTGCTGGTTTTGTGATGTTACCTCATAATAGCCTGGTTTCTCCCAAGGTTTTTTTTCTCCTTTTCAGATGAGATCAAAACTTGAACTGAATTTAGCTGGACAATGACACTATTGTCTTTGACTATCAAAATGATAACTGTTGCATTTAGTGTTTAGATCATGTTTCAGAATAAAGGGATCCACAGACACCAGTTCCCACTGAACAGGAACTAACTGCACTACATCAGCACTGCTTCTGGTCCCAAACACCAGTTTATGTCTGCAGGCTCTTGTAAAGCAGTTTTTGCTTTAACTGTAGTTTGTTTTTCTTCGATTTGATTCAAATAAACCTATTTGATTGTATTTCATCAATACTGTAAATATCAGAATTTGTTTATTGAGTGACTGTGTCTGTATTATTCTCTCTTACAGCGATGTATGTATTTTCCTGGAGCATCATAATGAAATATGTATCACATGTTTTGTACTACAACATTTAATGATTGTACAATCAAATACACAGTGAATTTATCAGTATCCAGTGTGTGTATGTGATCTGAATGAATGTTTCTGTGGTATTTCACGATGATAAATGAGTTCTTTGATCATACGGTTCAGCAAGTTTGGTTTCTTTAGTGATATGAAAGCACAATGTGAACACTGGGCAGCCTGTGTTAAACATGACTGCTGTGAGTTTAGTGAAAAATGACATCAGTGTGCTAGAAAGTGCCAAAGTGACTAAACAAAGTGCATCAGTCTACCAACAAAATATAGTACCAAACATTATGGTGGCAGATACACATTGTCCCACCATTAGTGCAGTCAACATGGGAACACATAACAGCATTACAACTGATTATTGCTGGATTTACTCAGCTACCCAGCACACTAGCATATAACATATAGTCTACGATAATATTGTAATTGTGTGATTTAGTCTATTATAGTTAATCACACGAAGAGTGACGTTTTTCTCCAAATATCAGCACAACTGCAAATGTGATATTGATTTTATTAAACAGTCCAATAAACTAGAAGTTAATATTAAGTGACTTACATTTAAGACAAACCCGTTCTTGTTTTTGCTGTATTTCAACAACAAAAATAGTTCCAAACAAATCCACAGCAGAACTGTGTTGCAACTCTGAGTAACACATGACGGTGTTTCGCTGCTGAATGAATCAACCGACTAAACTAATCAGTTGAATGAATGACTCAATGACTCCGTGTACAACTGTTGGCGCAAGCTACATTAAAGTGATTATTACGTTTTGAATATGGATATTTTTCTTACAAAAATGCATCGATTCGCTGCAGGAGGCCGCGAATTTGTTCACCCCCCGGAGCCGTGTGAGACACTTTTTTTAATGGAAATTTTTATTTAACTTCTTTTGGACTGATGCATGCAACGCCTGCTGAGTGGCATTAAACAGCTTGAAAGATCAAAGAAAATTTTTGATATAACTCCGACTGGATTCATCTGAAAGAAGAAAGTCATATACACCTAGGATGCCTCGGGGGTGAGTAATTTATGGACTAATTTTCATTTATATATTTTCAAGTATATTTTCCCTTTTTTCCCCAAAATCATTTCAGACATCAGTACTCAACATTTGTTTTTTGTTTTTTAAACATCAAAACATTATGTACAGTTGTGCTCATAAGTTTACATACCCCTTGCAGAATGTGTAAAATGTTAATAATTGAAACAAAATAAGAGGGATCATGAAAACCGCATGTTATTTGTTTATTTAGTACGGTCCTGAATAAGCTATTTACTGATGCTCCAGAAGGCAACACAATGCATTAAGAGCTGGGGGTGTAAACTTTTGAACAAGATGATGATGTGTTTTTTTACCCTATTTTGATAAAAGATCATATATGTTTCATTTGGTACTGCACTTTAGAAGCTACATAAATCCTTAAATGTTTCCCAGAAGACAAAATAAGTACAATTTACCCTGATTATCCAATTCAAAAAGTTTACACACCCGGCTCTTAATGCATTGTGTTGCCTTCTTGAGCATCAGTAAAGGTTTTCACTTTATATAATTGTAGGGATGCATGATATTATTGGACAAATATCGGAATCGGCCGATGATGGCTTTAAATGTAAATATCGGCATCGGCCCGATATGAAAAATTACTATATTTAAAATATTTTAACTAATCTAGGGCTGTAACTAATGATTTGGTAATCAAGTAATCTACTGATTATTTTGACAATTGAGTAATCTGATATTTTTAGTAACACAAATAAACATAAGTGAAAACCAGGCTTTAGTATGACATGAGGCAATAATAACTGGCTTAAATAAAATATGGTGCCGGAGAACTTTAAGCCCTGAATTTTGTCTTGTGGAGAATATATAAACATCTGTTATGTGAAATAGCTTATTCAGGACAGTATTAAATAAAAAAAATAACATGCAATTTTCATGATCCCTCTTATTTTGTTAAAATGATTAACATTTTCCATATTCTGAAAGGGATGTGTAAACTTATGAGCACAACTGTATGCATTTGTAACTGCTGGTTAACTGCATTCATGTCCTGCATTAAACAGTCTAAATGCATCTAAATGACGCTTCAGGTGCAGATTCTGTGCAACCGCTGCATTGCAAACACAAATTGTGTTGTTACTGATTATACATGATTATTAACAGCCCTATAGTGTCCTACTATTTGAATTTATTGATTACATTTAATTTACATTAATTTATAAAAGATGCATACATTTAATTAGGTTAGAAAAAAAAGGCCTTATAAAGGTAAAAATGCCTATAAAAGGTAAAAATCTATTTAAACTTATTGGAAAAGTTCATTTCTGTTACTCCTGCAAACTAACCACCTGACAGAATATGAAGAATATCAAAAGCTTTGGGAGTCAGCTGTCCACGGCAGTCCTAAACCTGCCAAAATACCAGCACAATATCACGCTCAGCAAAATATTCTCTAATTATCGTTATCGACAAAATTCCAGAAAATATGGAGATATAATTTTGTCATTATCGCACACACCCTACTAGCATGTGCCAAACATTTCCCAGTGAAAGCTAATGTGAATGTGCACACAGATGATGACAGTTCATACTCGCAACAGTAGAGAAACATTCCCAACGCTACAACTGTACTTCACTTATTAAACGTTATTTATTAGTGGTGTGAAATGTGGCAGGAATGTAAAGAATACTCACATGACTGGGCAGGTAGAGATCGAAGGGTGTCCCCGAGTCCACATCGATAGCATGAAACCCAAAGTGAGAGCCGTAGATGACCTTTAACCTCTGTCCGTTCTCCACCGTCAGGTCGACCGAGAGCGGCTTCTGAGGCAGTGAGCTGAACGACTGACACACATGCACAACAACACGCTTAGTTTACTGCATCAATACCAACGTTTTTGTGTTAGTTTGTATTCTTTTTTAAATATTCATTATTCAGTTGTTTTCTCTGTGGTGTGTAAAGACAGTGACAGGTGGTTTTCTGTCAGCCACATTCTATAACCCACACCCACAGATGCTCTAGAAATGTGCAGTTCGTTTGTGACGTGTGAATGAAACCACTAACTGGGCTGTTATTCGACTCGACACATCATACAGTGCAGGAGTTACTCTGCACTGCACACACACACACACACACACTCTCTCTCACACACACTGTCATCTTTGATTACATGAAATATTCACAGCTGATGTGAGAACACTGATTTATACTGAAGTGACTCCAGTGCTGTGAACAGGACCGTTCATAAATACAGCTGTGAACCTCCAACACTGACGCTGTGAGAACAGCCTTTGAGGATCTTAGAGGTGCTTTTGCGGTTCAGATTCAATTAATGGACTGCACAAGATGTTATGAGCTCTGAAAGTAACTCTTTCAAGAAAACAATGACAGGTCATAATTATGCATGCATATTTCTGCATATAATGACTATATAGTGTTCATTTTTAGCATGGTTCATAACCACCAGTAGGGTAAGTGGCCTGTGATTGTAAACAGGGCTCGAGTCTTCACATAATGATCAAACACAATGCCTTTGAGTGCTTTGATATTTCAGGTTTGCAGTTCTACTATTTTATGACAGGACTGATGCAAGACGTCCGTCTGAGCAATATGTACACTGACACGGATATAGATTTTTTTTTAAATTATCTATACTATTACTGCTTAGGCGCACATATCATTTATTTGTTGAGTGCTTCAGGGGAGACAATATGATGCACACTGCCACTGAAGAAACTTCTAAAAAAAAAAACAGCACCAATTTTTAACCACATTTAGTCATTAAACCCTAACATGCACTGTTTGTATTTCCATAAGCATATGCAGGACGACAATCTGAGCAAATGCTATAAGTATAAACGGCAGAAGTTGATGCCAGAAGTAGAGTAAGTCTCTCAGGACCGCAGTGAAGTAGGACGCGTACTCAAAAATGACCCATTTCCAAATACACCCCACTTACTTTACCTATCATTACACCATCCTATTTCTCACAATGGAAGAATACATAAACATGAATAGCAGGTAATTAGAAATATCACATTAGAAAGTGTGCTAGTTGTGACTGTAACAGACTCTTTAGCCATGATCCAAAGCAACTGGTACAGTGAATCTCAGAAACCGCATTATTAGAGCTTTATATTTCAATCCCCTGTATCTGCCTACATTACTGCTAAACTGCAGAAACACACCTATACATGCATCTCACTGCAGTCCAGCTGAAATAAACACCATCAGCTTTTGTTGCTTTTTACACAAATTATGATTATAGTGAGTGGCAGATTATTGATTAATGAAGACTTATTCTTGTGTGGTTACTCGCACAACACTGTTATGAGCTCAGAACACTTTTACCATAGTGCATTATTTGTAAACTAACACAGTTTGATGTTTGCATCACATAACCAGCTCCGTATGTGTGGCTTTTCTGGCGTAGTAAACGTGCTCGGTAGCACACCCGGCACTGTATTAGTGATGTGAAGCGCTGGAGTACCGTCAAACACAGGCCATGATGAAAGAGCCCAGAACCTCATAGAAGGAAGCTAAAATTATGCCAATTATTTGATTGCTTCAGCACATGCTTTTTTTCTCACATTTGCTTTATTGTGTTAACAATATTGGTTATCAGTTATTGGATTAGGGTTTAGTGCAGGTGCTTCATTGTTTTTGTAAATGTGATGCATTATTAATCGCTACTAATATGCAAGACTTACTTTGAAAGCCATGAACTTGTGATACGGTTTGGGAGCCCAGGCGTAGACCTCCACAGCGCTCCTCAAGGCGATGACCAGGAACTTTATTTTTTCATAGCGAACTGAAATCATCAGCATTATGTGAGTACGGAGAACAAGATCATCGAAAACACTGACTTATAGTGATGACACTGAAGGAAGACATTTATCAAAGCGTTCCACCTGCATGATTTTCACCAGAGCAGAACTGGCTAGTTATGACACTGAAATCTGAATCTGCACTATTATCGTGTGTCATTCTGATCGCACCTGATAGATGTTTTTTATCCAGAGTTTCTGCTCATCAGGTAGTCAGTTTGCATTCTCCTCTGGTTTGTTAGATTAAGTTCACTAGGTGTTTCCATGCAGTCTATTATAATTATAATGTTTAGTATGTTAAACACGTGAATGTTGTCTTGTTCTGGACTCACCCACTTTATAGCTCACACATCCCTCCAGTTCCCCCACTGACGTCCAGCCCTGTTTCTTCTCCACCTCCGGATCATTACGCAAGACCTTATTCCTCAGCCAGGACAGGTAGTACAGCCTCAGCTTGTTTTTCTTACCTTTCCACAAGAAATCATAAATAGATGACACACATATACACACTAAAGTTTGGAATAATTAAGGTTTGCAAATGGATGAATAACATTGTTTCTTGTAAAGATGGAGTAGCTAAATGCTACGAATGAGAATATTGTGGTAAGAGATGACAATGATACCATTCATGCAATTATAATCAGTATAATTTACGTTCAATAAGCCAATGAGTATAGGAGTGAGTACGCTTTCATGGCAGATTGTCTCTATGAAGTGAATAATATTGTTGCTTGCGCATGACACTAAACAGTATCATGCATGAGAAAGTAAAGAGTGAGAACGTGTTATGCTTCAAGAAATGTGAGGTCAATTCTTCAAGGACTCTTGCAGGATTTGTACCTTCTTGTATTTGTTCATTCATCTGCTAGTGTAAGTGTAAGAATACTCAGTGTTGTGCTGAAGTGCAGTGTGTACCTGATATAGTGATGAGCACGTTGAGCCCCTCCAGCACGTCCATCTGCTGGAAGCGTCTGCGGCTGATGAGAGAGTAAACTTTACCCTGACCACTGCGGTCCAGCAGCCACAGGCCGCTCTCGGTGCCCACCAGCAGATTCACTCCTACACACACACACACACAGATCCCGGTCACAGGGAGTAAAGACAACAGCACAAATACACCAACTAAAAGAGCATTCACAACCTGCTTTAGACAAAAGAGAAAACACTGAAAAGACTCTTGCTAACAGCATGTTTAGAAAAGAGCTCTCACGTAAAGCACTATATGGATGGGATTAGAAATCACTGAATTACAGTTTGTCAGTGGAAGTGTATCATTTCGTTTCTAACTTATGTATGTCAAATAATTACAATTAATCTGAGCAATCTGTGATTTATGTAATTTCAACTGTGCCAAACCAGTTATTTTTATCTGGAAATTATCAAGCCAACGGTTTGCATTTAATAATAAAGCTGCACCAAGGAACGCAACAAGAAATTTAACTTTAGGTACAATATTAGATGAAGGTCAAAATAAATAAGGTAAAGTCGTACAAAAACAAACACAATCTGTAATCTGGATGTGACCCTATTTCTCAGAGGACCTCTGATTTAGATGAAACAACAGGTATTTTTTACACTGTAATTTCATACAAACATCATATCAGCTGCATTCTGTAATAATCAAACAAAGCGTTCATTAAAGGCACAATATGCAAGTTTTCGCCACTAGAGGTCGCATTTTCAAACCAATAACAAAGGCGAAGCTTGATGACGCTATGAAGGAGGATGTGCACGGATGAGGTATTAATTAATTTTATTACCTGTACCTTCCACAGTTATTCAAATAGCGATTAAATTATACAGAGAAAGCGAACAAAAAACTTTTACATTGTCAAAGAACATTATGACTGACTTCAGTCTAGTTTAAGCACTCTTCAAAAACGTACTAACGTAACCTCGGTTCCCTGAGATACGGGAACAAGTACTGCGTCTGCTAAGATGCTATGGGGAAAACTCCTTTTTCTCCGAATACTGAAGCCTTTAAATAACGCAGTGTAACTGCACGGCCATTGGTTCATGCAGTGTATTAAAAATGAACCAATGGCTCGGCAGCGGAGCTTATGGTTTTGCCATAAGGCCAGAGTAAATCCGTTTAAGCAGAAAGGACACAAGCCTGTAAGGCCGGGACATCCAGATTATAAAATCTGGTAAATGTGGATGGCGAGGTCCAGCTAGCCGCCGCACAAATTTCTGCAATGGACACTCCGCTACACCAAGCCCAGGAAGAGGCAACGCCTCTTGTTGAATGGGCTCTTACTCCTATGGGGCATTGCAGGCCCAAAGAAGAGTAAGCTAGCTTGATAGCGTCAATTATCCATTTGGAAAGTCTCTGCTTCGTGACCGGAGACCCTCTGGTGCGGTCACCGAAGCATACAAAAAGCTGGTCCGACTGCCTGAACGGGGCGGAATGCTCAATATATATTCTCAATGCCCTGACGGGGCAGAGTAAATTCAGCTTTTGGTCCTGCTATGAAGGAGGAAGCGCCGAAAGAGCTATTGCCTGTGCTCTGAACGGAGTCGAGAGCACTTTAGGTACATAACCATGCCTCGGTTTCAGGACGACCTTGGAGTCGTTGGGCCCGAATTTGAGGCAGAAGGGGCTCACTGAGAGCACCTGCAGATCTCCCATACGCTTTACCGATGCTAGCGCCAGTAGCAGAGCGGTCTTTAGCGTCAGGGGACGAAGGTCAACGGACTGTAGCAGCTCGAAAGGAGGGCTCTTCAGGGCCCTCAACACCGTGGGCAGGTCCCATGTAGGGACGGTGACAGGGCGAGGCGGGTTGAGCCTCCTAGACCCCTTCAAAAAGCGAACAACTAGGTTGTTCCTGCCCACAGACTGGCCAGCTATAGGAGCGTGTGAAGCTGCTATGGCTGCTACATAGACGTTGAGTGTGGAAGGGGAGTGACCCTTATCCAACAGCTCCCGCAGGAAGGTCAATATCAGCGATATGTCACATGAAATTCAGTCTGTGCCGCGGGTTATACACCAGGCGGAGAATACAGACCATTTAAGGGCATAGAGCCGCCTTGTAGAGGGTGCTCTAGCTTGAGATATTGTGTTTAGCACGCTCTCGGGGATGTCCGCAGGCCCGGTTCACCTTGACACGCATGCGTCCGTGACGCCAGGCGTAGGACGGAACTCGTGGTTTCAGCCAGTACTGAAGGGGCCGCATGCGAAGCAGGCCCAGCTGAAGTACTGGAGACGCAGAGGCCATGAGGCCAAACATCTTCTGAAATGCCTTGAGAGGGTGAAGGGCTCCAACTTTGAATGAGGCCGCGAGCTGCCGAATAGCCAGTGCACGATCGGGCGCGAGTCGAGAACTGTTCCCAGGAACAATATCTGTTGGCTGGGGAACAGCTCACTCTTGGCGAAATTGACCCTTTGTCCCAGGCACTCTAAGTGGCTGAGGAGGAAGGATCTGTGGGATTATAGCTCGCTCTCTGACTGGGCCAGGATGAGCCAGTCGTCGAGATAATTCAGAACGCGGATTCCCATCTGTCTCAGCGGGGAAAGAGCTGCATCCATGCACTTTGTAAAAGTGCGAGGTGCTAGGGACAGCCCGAGGGGAAGGACCGTGTATTGATATGCCACTCCCTCGAAGGCGAATCTCAAGAATCGCCTGTGGCGGGGGGCTATCTCGATGTGAAAGTAGGCATCTTTCAGATCCAGCAAAAATAATCAGTCCCCTGGGCACACTTGCGAGAGGATCTGCTTCAATGTAATCATCCTGAATGGCCGTCTCATGAGAGCGCGGTTCAGGTGCCTGAGATCAAGGATGGGCCTTAGGCCGCCATCCTTTTTGGGGACGAGGAAATATCAGCTGTAGAAGCCTGACTCGCTCTGAGCTGTCAGGCTAACCGAGGTGGAGAACACGCCACTGAATCGTGGGGGTCTTCGAGCGAATTTAAGTGAATAACTTCGTTCTATTATCCCCAAAACCCTACGGGGATGGCCTGCCAGGCCTTGGCCCTTGTGGCAAGGGGTTGGGTTGGTTCAAGCTACAGGCCGCCATGCAGGGGACCTTACGATCATGATAAGCGGAAGAGGAATTTTGCTCTCTTTTTGAAAATGTTTGTTTTATTTTTCTCACTATAACAGTGATCGGTTGTGTGGGCGCTAACTGAATGGGCCCAGAGTTGACAACAGTATCCACCACAAACACACCTGGAAGAGAACGGGGTGCTTGGAGGCACAAAAGAGGCTGCTTGGGGGGGGGGGCGGTGTCCGGCAATGGCGAGACTTTGCCCCCTCCTTTTCCTGAACCGCGGATCAGGTTGACGCCTGAGGTGCCGGGTCCAGCACTACCTTGGGCCGGGGTCCTTGGCGCTTAGGGAATGGGTAGCATCTAGCCGAGTGGGAGCAATGTCGGGGCTCAGGCTTGGAGGCCGGCAGTGCAGCCGATGATGCGGGCTTCGCGGACTGCTGAGTCGGCGCAGTCTTGGGGCGACTGGCAGCAGCTGCAGAACTGGAGCGCTTTGGCAAGAAGTGTCGCATTGCCTGGAACGACTTCTGCGCAGCGGTGAAGCGCTCCGCGAACCCTTCCACCGCAGGTCCAAACAGGCCAGAGGGGGAGACCGGGGAGTCGAGGAAGGGGACTTTATCCGCATTTTTGATCTCCGTGAGGGTCAACCATAAGTGGTGCTCATGCACCACAAGGCAGGCCATGGATCTGCCGATCGCCTGAGCCGTCATCTTGGTGGCGCGTAAAGCCAGGTCGGTCACGCTGCGCAGCTCCTTGAAAGCTGCGGGGTCCGGTCCAGACTCGTCCATATTCTGGAGAAGTTTGGCCTGAAGGACCTGTAGGACCACCATAGAGTGAAGCGCCGGGGCCAGCTTGTCCAGCAGACAAATAGGCCCTTCCAGCGAGAGCTGAAGTCATCCTACACGGCTTGGATAGGTGGGCGGCCTTCGCCTTCCAGCCGATAGCCGTCGCACTCGCTCTCACCGAACGAGACCAGATCGCTTTCAGCCGCAGACGAATGCTGGTCCGGGTGAAAGAAGAGGATGGGGGAAGCCTCTCTATGTGGAGAAAGTGAGGCACGCGGAGTCTCAGCCGGTGTGGGCTCACTCGTCACCGAGCACCGAGATCCTCTGCCTTGCTGCTTTTTTCTCACAGGCTCCTAGGAGGAAGAAAGTGGGAGGGCGCGAGGGGCGGAGTCGCTTTCTGAAAAGAAAGCTATCCTCGAGCGCAGAGAGGCGAGACTCATATCCTCGCAATGAGGATATTCCATCTCGGTAAGTGCAGCTTCAGCGTGGGCAGCGCCCAAGCATGCAACGCACTCGCCGTGACCATCAGCGGCGTACAGGGGAGCCCTACACAAGTGACAGTAGCGGCATTTGCAACAACTCCGGAAATTTGCTCAGAACATTTGCTCTTATAGTCTGGGAAGACCACAGCTGCTGCAGACGCTGAAGGCAGCTGAAGAGCGGCGAAGTCAGCCGAGCAGAGAGGGGTCTTGATCCACTGCGAGGCTTGTTCACGGCGAAGGCTTCCAGTCTCGTAGAGCGAAAATCTTGTATTCATCGCTGAAGGAGAAGAAAGCTGAGGATAATATGGCGAAGTGCACGCTTATATAGCCACACGAGCCTATGGCGGGCTGTGTCGCCATAGGCTCATGCAGCTCCGCTGCCGAGCCATTGGTTCGTTTTTAATACACTGCACGAACCAATGGCCATGCATTTACACTGCGTTATTGAAAGGCTTCAGTATTCGGAGAAAAACGCAGTACGAGTAAAGTATCAATAGGGAACTCCCCTTATAATCAGTAAAGCTGTCTATACACGGTTTGATGAATGAATCTCTTACTTACATCATACGTACATCTGCACTTTGTTGTTTATGATGAGAGAATTCGCGTGAGAGCTGAATTCAGTCAGCGAGCAAAAAAACGAATCTGAACGCCTCTGATTGGCCATTGCCTTCATAAGCTCAACAAACTCATGTGTGATTGGTTATAATGCTATGTGAATGCGTCTCACCCCACAGACTGGCACAGAGGATTTCAGCGTTGAACTTCTTTTTGTATTTGCGTATCTCTGGGGCATCGCTCTGAGGACGGATGTTCGTGGGGTTGACGTTCACCACCGAGCCCTTCCTGTGAGGCTGTCTGACGCACGGCTCACACCTGCCATTCACTGACACACAGAGAGAGAGAGTTTGTTCATCAGAGAAGTAAACAGATAAGGGGGAACATTGTGCGGATCAAGGGCATGCTCCACATGGAATTTCTTTGAAAGATATTTGCTTTACATGATAATGTGTAGTTACTTTAAGGTATTTTAAAATATTTTGTATTACCTTATATGTCCAAAACTGTAATTTTTAACACAAGAAAAAGTTTTAAATAATAAAATTTATATATTATACAAAAATCAAGATCAAAAATCCCATGTTACAAAAGGTGAAGTGCTAAGCAGGCTGTTTAATAGAATATTGGCTGATTAGATGGCAATGCTGACCTAAAATGCTAAATGTTTGCCCTCTCTCTTCAACGTTCCCACATCTCAGACCATAAAATATAACCCTTTTTAGACATAGATTTTGAAGAAAAAAAAAACTAAATACAAAACATATTGAAACAACCAGGGGCCAGTTGCATAAACTTAGCCACCATGTTAAGACTGTCTTAAGAACTAGTTTAACCAACTAGCAGTTGCCAAGGGGTAATCAGTCTTACTTTTCCAATACAAATAAGACCAATCTACCTTTTCATAACTGAATAAAAAAAAGTTATGTCCAGTCTTGAAGAAAAACAAAAAAAATAGATGACTAACGTTTTAAGTCAGAAAACGTTCAAAAAACAGTTTATGCAACCGGCCCCAGTTCTTTATTTACCCTTGTAAGGAATGCGGTCTAGACCTCCTCCTGAAGTGGTTTGAGTGATTGAATTTAAATGCATCTCGAAAGCATTTTGGAGGGCATTTACACCTGGTCTTTTCATGATCAGATAGCTATCCAATCAGAGAAAACGCATTAAAGGCACAATATATAAGATTTTTTTATTAAAATATCCAAAAACCACTAGAACAGTGTTATATATTTTGCTGACAGGACTCACGCTGGCCGTATCCCTGTGGACTCTGAGGTGGAGAGAGCAAACGCGGGTCAATGAAAGGTGAGAATGAGGAAGAGGAAGATGACGAGCTTTTTCCTGCCTGGTTACTGAATAATTTCTGTAAATGCAGAATAACACCACAGAGATCAGTTTTACATGATAATACAAGTACAGTTTGATTAAGTGAATGACTGATGTGAATTCCCAAAGAAATCTAGAATATTTTTGCATCTATGCGCAAAAACAAAGAACAAATACTTACATAATTATACAATCTTTTGAAATGATAACTGGCTTAAAACAGTCTCACATCAATGTAAATGTATAAAATGCCCAACACAACCCAGATTTACTAACAGCTTTCACCAGCACAAACCCTAGTTTGCCATTAAAACTACTGTCAGGACTTACTAAATATGCACAGTGAAACATTAGTGATGAAAAGGCATGAACATGTTATTTTGACCTTATTGCATGTGCATTTGTAGGAGTTTCCTTTTCAGACACAACATTTATGGGAGGAGAGGATTTAAATCAATCACGCAATGATTTACAAAGGTTTGCTGTAGTCAGTTTACTGGTAGTTTTGTGACATTTGTGTGATTATATCTCTCAAAAAACATCTCTGAACCTATTTGTGTGAGTGTGTGTGTGTGTGTGTGTGATTAGAGTCGTACGGGGAGCGCGCTCTGCTGGTGCGAGGGGCTCTTGTGCAGCAGGTCGGGCAGAAAGCAGCTGTCGCTGGACTGCGGTCCTGAAGGCCTCTGATGGACGCTATGTGCTGGCTTTGCTGCACTCTGCTGGAGAAACACCAACATCTCAATCAAGCATCTCTGAAACACTGCACTAACTACACAGCAGCACTATCAAGCACTCTTAAACCGGTGTAAAAGCACAGAGCCTTCACCTGCTGCTGTGTAGCGCTGTGATGAGGCTGGAGAATGATTTCATCACACTCTCCTCTGGATAACAGCGGCCTGCCATTGCTCAACGGAGACCTGGAAAATGACAGTCAGAGCAGTTTTAATGACGGCAAAGAAAACACTCGCTCCTTCAGACCACGAGCAGGGCAGCAAAGACAGACTACAGCACTAGAGTGACCTGAATCAGATAACAGTGTGCATGTGAAACAGCTCCAGGTTGTCTTGCTAATTCCGACCAGATTTTGCTGCTATTAAACAAATGATGGCATGAGGAATGAGAATCATAACACAAATTGTCCTTCAGTTTTCCATCAACATACAGGCTTTACCCTTACCAAAAAACAAAACAAAAACAAGTATACATCCAGTTCATTTTATGAAGCAAATGTATATATTCCAAGTATGCAGCAGGTATAGTGAGATCAGTGTGCTAGTATACTTAAATGTGTACTACTTCAAAACATCTTGGGACTAAACTGGCCCTCTCTATACTAGTATACATTTAAGTGTACTCACAGTAGTAAACTTTGACTGCATAACTAGTTTACATCTGAGTGAACATAAAAGTATGCTCTTAGTTTACTAGCCTACTCTTTCACATATGAAAGACACATTGATTGCTCTTTGAATGCTCTCAGTAAACTACTAGTTCAATAGCTTTTATGCTGCCAGTATAATTACGAGCTTTCCTTAAGTGAACTTAACATCATACTTACAGTTTACACTATTTAAATATTACGTTTGCACTCCAAGTATACTACCAGCTTCCTCATTTGGTTTGTATAGACCCTCATCTGTTATAGTATCCTCACACAGTGAAGAGGAAGACGGTCATGAATGTTCATCTCTTCAGATCATCCCATACTTGTTACACACGTGAGTTTCAAAATAGTGTGTAAAATGCTGAAACACTACCTTAAAGAAGCCAGTATGTGTGAGAAAGGTGTTTATTAGGATAGAGTAAATGACCACAAGCGGTAGTAATTAACTGTACAAATATACTTTGACTTCTGTATATTTGTCAGTATAGTTAACTGTATATTGTAAGTGATAAGTGCATGAAACGTTAAGTAGACTTATTTTTAGCTCAAAAGATCTAAAGTTGATATCTGTCGAAACAATCCCAATGTGATGGTTTGGATAAATGTGAAGTGAAGCTGTATGTTAGAGACAGAGCCGTGTCCGCAGGCGCTGTGACGTCTTCACTGCCTTCACGAGAAACCCCGTCCATATGTGTGCTTCACATTCACTCCCATCACATCAGCATTACTCTGATATCATGAGACAACAGCACAGAGTGCTCCACTTTAGGTCAGCTGTCTCTTTAAGACAGCATTACAGCATGAACAGTACCATCAAAACAGGTATATTACCCTAGTGAAAAATAAATATACTTCAATGTTTTTGAAATACATTCATTTCATACTAAGCATACTACAAATACATTTTCATATTTATGTACTTAATAAAATGCCCATGCGATTGTACTTTTAGTATACTAAACTGGTATACTTCAAGTCTGCTAAATTGTAACAACTGATTTTGTGCTTAATGCACTTTAATTGTGAGCAAGTAGTGCTGAGGTCCAACTAAAGATATACTGAAGTACACTTGATTGTGTTGAAGTGGAACTACTGCAAGTATACTTCCGGTACACTTTAAATATCTTGCAGCTGAAGACTGATATTATTCAAAGATCATACAATCCTCATCAATAGTGACATTAAAACACATTGTAGGCTTATTATAAATAAACAAATGTGCATTGTGTAGAACTAATACTCCAAATAAAGTTTAATTAAAATTTTTGATAACATAACATTTTAAAAAGAATGTATATACAGTCATGTGAATAAGTTAGGACACCCTATTGAATTCCATGGTTTTCTGTATCAGGAGATAATAAAAAAAAAACAAGTCTTAAAATTTGAATTTTAAAAAATGGCTTTTCCATTTTGGCTTTATTTTTGTTAAATAAACAATGACACTGTGCGATATGTCATGTGTTGTTGTTCATCTGAGGTTTTATTTTCCAAATTTTAAGCCCTAGAAAGAACCAGTTATTTATGTCCTGATAAGGAAAACTATGGAAATCAATAGGGTGTCCTAACTTTTTCACATGAGTGTACATTAAAAGCGTCTGCTAAAATGACTAAATGTATATCAATAGGTCTCGAGTTGTCTGTCAGTCAATATGTTAATAGATTTTAACTCTACTTAGTATGAAATGCATGCATTTTAAATATATAACTTTTTTACTAGGGTATACTTTAAGTAACCACAAACTCCACAACGCTGTCAGTCAGCACTTACTGCATGTAATCATTAGCTTCAGGAGGAGGGGAGATTACCTGGTCCTCTCGTCATCTTCATCACTGGAGGAAGAATATTCCGCAAGCTTCATTAACGGACTGAACGGAGACTTCATTCCCAAACCCTTAATGAGGAACACAGCTTGAGATTAAAGGCCAGCACTCTGTTACTGTTAGTCATGTCCAAGCTTTTATTCAGTTTATTCAGACACCTTCAACATGTCTCACATTAAATCACGGGTTAATTCACTATAGTTGAGAAAATGGTAACAAAATATGAGAAGAACTCAGAGTTAAACTGTGTCAGAACAAAATGAACCCGTAAAAGCGTAGGAGAAATTATCAGATTGACCTGGTTCTGCGGTGACGTCTGAGCGTTTCTGCTTGGATGAGCTGCACTGTCCAGCACACAGAGACCTGCACAAACAAGAGTATCTGCATGAACACACACACATCTGAATAACTGAGCTGATTCTGACGGATCTCAGACCTGAGTGTGAGCTGCTGCTGCTGCTGCTGGAGCTGAAGGACATCTTCACAGCAGACGGACCATCGCCGCTGAACAAAGATCATACAATCCTCATCAATAGTGACATTAAAACACATTGTAGGCTTATTATAAATAAACAAATGTGCATTGTGTAGAACTAATACTCCAAATAAAGTTTAATTAAAATTTTTGATAACATAACATTTTAAAAAGAATGTATATACAGTCATGTGAATAAGTTAGGACACCCTATTGAATTCCATGGTTTTCTGTATCAGGAGATAATAAAAAAAAAACAAGTCTTAAAATTTGAATTTTAAAAAATGGCTTTTCCATTTTGGCTTTATTTTTGTTAAATAAACAATGACACTGTGCGATATGTCATGTGTTGTTGTTCATCTGAGGTTTTATTTTCCAAATTTTAAGCCCTAGAAAGAACCAGTTATTTATGTCCTGATAAGGAAAACTATGGAAATCAATAGGGTGTCCTAACTTTTTCACATGAGTGTACATTAAAAGCGTCTGCTAAAATGACTAAATGTATATCAATAGGTCTCGAGTTGTCTGTCAGTCAATATGTTAATAGATTTTAACTCTACTTAGTATGAAATGCATGCATTTTAAATATATAACTTTTTTACTAGGGTATACTTTAAGTAACCACAAACTCCACAACGCTGTCAGTCAGCACTTACTGCATGTAATCATTAGCTTCAGGAGGAGGGGAGATTACCTGGTCCTCTCGTCATCTTCATCACTGGAGGAAGAATATTCCGCAAGCTTCATTAACGGACTGAACGGAGACTTCATTCCCAAACCCTTAATGAGGAACACAGCTTGAGATTAAAGGCCAGCACTCTGTTACTGTTAGTCATGTCCAAGCTTTTATTCAGTTTATTCAGACACCTTCAACATGTCTCACATTAAATCACGGGTTAATTCACTATAGTTGAGAAAATGGTAACAAAATATGAGAAGAACTCAGAGTTAAACTGTGTCAGAACAAAATGAACCCGTAAAAGCGTAGGAGAAATTATCAGATTGACCTGGTTCTGCGGTGACGTCTGAGCGTTTCTGCTTGGATGAGCTGCACTGTCCAGCACACAGAGACCTGCACAAACAAGAGTATCTGCATGAACACACACACATCTGAATAACTGAGCTGATTCTGACGGATCTCAGACCTGAGTGTGAGCTGCTGCTGCTGCTGCTGGAGCTGAAGGACATCTTCACAGCAGACGGACCATCGCCGCTGAACACATGAGGACACAAACACACAGAGCTTCACAGAGCGGCTCCAGACGAGTAACTCTCAAACAGCACGAGCAGTGACCGCTCACCTGGACCCCTGTCTGTGAGGACTCGCCACATCTTTGAACTTCGACGTCGTGCGCTCTGGAATCTTGTAAAAGTCAGGAGATTAGCATTCATTCTTGTTACACTTTTTACATGTGTGTGTGTGTGTGTGTATGCATGGCTTATTTATTAGGGCTGTCAGAAAAAACTATTCGAATTTCGAATATTCGTAGAATTTAAAATATAAATCCACATTCGAATGCAAAAACGCTTTAGGTGTGTGTCAGGCTGCTTTATCAGTGGTGCACGAGATGTGATGACGATGTAAGTGTCGTTGCATTTTAAAGTTTTTTATAGCTTAACCAGTTGAAGCCACTAGATGCGGCGCTGCTGCGTTGGTCATTCAAAATATTGTGGAAAAAGTGAGCATCAATGCGAAGAAGATGTTGTTTACGTCAAAACTGAAACCAAGCCGTTCACACAGAACACATATTTATCTCATTTTCTAGAGGGACATCTATCACCGCTGCACTCACGTCTCGCACAAGAGAGATGCATGTAAAATTAATTTAAGTTCAACTTTTAAAAAACATATCTCGAGACTTTATGGTGTTTTTTTCCCATTTAAATGAAAAAGTACTCTGTGTGATTGGTTTTCGGTCCTTTGTATTAAACTATACATGCATACATGATGCTGTTTTGTTTCTAATTGTTTACGCAACTTAATTATATATGGTTTATAAACATTAATTTAAACATTATGCGCTTTTTTCAAAAGTAGTCGTGTTATTTTATTGCTTTGAAGAAACGTGCATTAGTAGTATTTTGCTGGATGCGCCCTCTTGTGGCCTCAGGAGAGAAGACAAACGCTTTTTCCCCCCTAACTGACATTATGCCTTTTAAATTCGAATATTGATATTATTTCAGTACAACATTCGAATTTAGTTCTTCAGCCGCTTTGACAGCCCTATTATTTATTGTCATTTGTTCAGGATCATAAAGCTGATTATTCTCCCCCAGTTCTCTTCATTGATCACCTTTGACCTACATGCTGGGTTTCTGTGGCATCCTCACATGTATTTTTGTGTGCTAACCGTTCATGTGTCGCATTAGAGGAAGGAAGAAAGGCACCTCCCTTGGGGAGAGGAAGCTGTTTCGACCGCACTTTAGCAGCTGCCACCTATACAGATGTTTCTGACGCAGCAAAACACTCATGACTTAGTCTTCCTCAGCTGCGGGTGACTCTGATCTTTCCTCTGAATGCTGTACTGAACAGTGTGGTCTGAGTGTGAACAGAAGGGTCATGACCAGGGTTTTCTAACCTTGGGAGGCTGCTCGTCAGGGCTGAAGAAGACTTCATCGAGCGCTGGAGACAGAGGAGCAGACGAGAGGTCTGTCACGGAGCTGCTGTGATGAAGCTCTCGACTGGGACTCACGCTCATGCTCTGAAACCACACAGTCACACACATTCAGATCCTACATGCTTGTTTTATGTCTTTATAGCTGGAATAATGTGAGAGTCTGGCCTTTGTAAAGCTCTGTAAAGTATGTTTGCTGTATAGTATGTAACTAGTTACTCCCCAACACTGTCCATCCCACAGAGAAGCTATGGTATGTTTGAGTGCATAAGAGCAGGGCTGTGATGTGTCTCGTACCGGCGGTTTGGCCGCTCTCTGCAGCGCTGGAGTACACGGACTGGAGCTGCTCCCTGACCCCACACGAGACTGAACATGAGGAATCCTCACCGCTATACTGTTCAGATTGACCAGACGAGCCTCCAGCGACTCCAGTTTACCTGCCAGCTGAAGGCCAGAGTTTCACATCATCATCACAGACTACAGCATGGGTCAGGATGCTTTACGCTTACATGCATGACATGCGCAGCTGCTGTGTTTTACCCCATCGTGCCGTGTGTCTCGAGGCTGGTCTCTGGGCTGAGCTCTCCGGTCCTGCTGGACATCAGCACAGCATCAGCACCAAACAAACCCTGACCGGCTCCACAATCACATCATATATATTAAGTTTACAGCACCCTCACTAATACATAATATTATATATATATATATATATATATATATATACTGTCATTCAAAAGTTTGGGATCAGTAAGACTTGTAATGTTTTTTAAAGAAGTGTCTTCTGCTCATCAAGGCTGCATTTATTTGATCAAAAATACAGAAAAAAACAGTAATCTTGCAAAATGTTATTACAATATAAAATAATGGTTTCTATTTTAATATCCTTTAAAATATAATTTATTCCTGTGATGCGCAGCTGTATTTTCAGCATCATTACTCCAGTCTTCAGTGTCACATGATCTTCAGAAATCATTCTAATATGCTGATTTATTATTAGAATTATCAATGTTTTTTTTGGAAACTGCGATACTTTTTTCAGGATTCTTTGATGAATAAAACATTAAAAAGAACAGCATTTATTCCAAATATAAATATTTTCTAACAATATAAATCTTTGCTCTCACTTCTTATCAATTTAACACATCCTCGCTGAATAAAAGTTTTAATTTCTTTCAAAAAAAGAAAGAATAAATTTACTGACCCCAGACTTTTGAACGGTAGTGTATATTGTTAGAAAAGATTTATATTTTGAATAAATGCTGTTCTTTTAAACTTTTTATTTATCAAAGAATCCTCAAAAAAGTATCGCAGTTTCCAAAACAATATTTGGCGGCACAACTGTTGAGAATTCTAATAATAAATCAGCATATTAGAATGATTTCTGAAG